TGTTTCACGGTGGGGATGGTGTGGTCAGGGTGATGTGTAGTGTTAGTTTTCTGCCACACATAGCATTTTGCTTTTAGGCCAAAAAGTTCAATTTTGATCTCATCTGACCAGCGCACCTTCTTTCACATGTTTGCTGTGTCCCACATATGGTTTCTCATGAGCTGCAAAAAGGACTTCTTATGGCTTTCTTTCAACAATGGCTTTCTTCTTGCCACTCTTCCATAAAAACCAGATTTGTGGAGTGCATGACTAATAGTTGTCCTGTGAACAGATTCTCCCACCTGAGCTGTGGATCTCTGCAGCTCCTCCAGAGTTACCATGGACCTCTTGGCTGCCTCTCTGAATAATAATCTCCTTGCCCAGCCTGTCAGTTTAGGTGGATGGCCATATCTTGGTAGGTTTGCAGTTGTGCCATACTCTTTCCATTTTCAGATGATGGATTGAACAGTGCTCTGTGAGATGTTCAAAGCTTGGGATAGTTTATTTATAACCTAACCCTTCTTTAAACTTCTCCACAGCTTTATCCCGACCTGTCTGGTGTGTTCCTTGGCCTTCATGATGCTGTTTGTTTACTAATGTTCTCTAACAAACCTCTGAGGGCTTCACAGAACAGCTGTATTAATGCTGAGATTAAATTACACACAGGTGGGCTCTATTTACTAATTAGGTGACTTGTGAAGGCAATTGGTTCCACTAGATTTAGTTAGGGGTATCAGAGTAAAGGGGGTGAATACAAATGCACGCCACACTTTTCAGAGATATTTATTTGTAAAAAAATTTGAAACCATTTATCATTTTCCTCCCACTTCACAATTATCTGCCACTTTTGTGTTGGTCTATCACATGAAATCCTAATAAAATACATTTACATTTTCGGTTGTAACATGACAAAATGTGGAAAATTTCAAGGTGTATGAATACTTTTTCAAGGCACTGTAGTTAGAAGTTGTTAATTGGTCACAGATAATCTGCTACTATATGAGTAGCTGTAGGTATTCTCTCACCTATTTTTGTATTGTCTTCACAGAATCCAACAGAGGAAGAAGTAAACAGCGCATCTCCTCTGAACACAGCAGGTAAGGTCAGCCAGCCCCAATTAGTAAACCAATGGCACAAACCTCAAAGCTTCTTCTGTGTTCAGCAAGGGTGTGAACTTGTGAAATTCTGTAATTATGTTATGGTTTAACACAATGGGCTATTCAGGTTTAAATTGTTCATAGCTAAAGTTCAGCCAAGCAGCATATTGTTCAAATATGCTTTAAGACATTGCACGGAGAGAATTTACATTGAAAGCATTTTTTGTCACGTGTATCAATGCCTCATATGTCAGTACTATGCAATGATTCATGATTGTGAAGTCATTGCCTGCAAAAAGCATTGTCAGCCCTGTGCATGGTTTTCCCTGCAGAATTTAATACATTCCCTTCCTTTTGCTTTGAACGTGAGAAGAAAGGGAGGTGTACTGCAGTCCAACGGAAGAGAATTTATGCAGGACTGAAACCGATGCTTGGGATATCAATGTAATAGGAACAGCATTGTCGGCTCACTACAGGGAGTTAGGATGACTGTGTTAAATCAGCAGTCTCTATCTATATGATATATTCTATTCCTTTTTAACATTAGCTGCCTTCCCTACAGGTGTTCGTTGAGACTCCTTTTTAACAATAAACCAGATCCTCCTGAGACTCATTCTAAGTAAAACACAGTAGACCTTCAAAATCTGTCCTGTTGAGCTTCTGTGCTGCTCTTCACTAATTTGACTTGAAGTGATATAAAACTATTTCTACAAGTCTACAAACTCTTTAAAGGATAAGTTCCCCTTTGGGAACATGTTACATGTTCCACACGTTTTTAGGGTGAAACATGTAACATATTCCCATAGTGGCAGTCACCGCCCGCCGCCCTCCCTCCCTCTGACAGATGATACAGGGAAACTTCTCACCGTACTATCTGTCAAATTTGAAAATAGCGCGGCCATGCGGGCTCCGCCCATTGAATTTTGATGATAATCCTTTAGCACACACAGGGTGAAATGTGAAATTAGGCAGAGATTAACAGATGGGCAGAAATCAGCCTCTGTATGGGGTTAGTTGTTCTTTGAACAAACAACTACAGTAATGAGGGAGCTCCTTCGCAAATGGGACAGACAGTAATTAAAGCAATAATTCAACTTGACCCACAGAGGACAGATGCTGCATCAGGCTCTTGTGACTGTTACAATCTTCTAGATTGTAAGCTCTAATAAGAAGGTCCCTCTGATTCCTCCTGTATTGAATTGTACTGCAACTGTACTGTCCGCCCACATGTTTTAAAAAGCCCTGCGCAAACTGTTGACACTATATCAATCCTGTATTAGAATAATAATAATAATCTTAAACTGAGTAGAAAGTAATTGAACTTAGCAATGTTATTTGACACTTGGGTGGTTTAGGCAAAGAGCTCTCTCAACTAATCAATTGTCTCGGTCAGGTAGCTGATGGTGCACCCGTGTTCTCTTGACCCTTCCTTCAAAGATCAGTCCAGACTCCAGACACAGCACTCCGGTGCATCTGCTCGCAGAGCTGTCAGCCCAACTTGTCAGAAGTTCCTCCTCTCTGGTTCACTCTCTGTGGTCTGGCACAGCCTGGACCTCCAGCATCCTGCATAGCCTTCTCCTTACACCTGCTCTCCAGCTCTCCCTGTTCACTTTCTGCCACCGGGTTTCCAGGCTTTGGTATTTATTTGCCTCTGCCCATCTGCCAGTTCCTCTGGGAAATGTAATTTGCCAGCCTGCTGTCAAACAGTGAAGTCCTGCAATAGGCCAACAAATCCTTCAAAGCTTTTCAACAAAGTCTGTATAACTGAGCTACAGGATACTGCCATGTTATGTCCATTAACATCCTGCAACCAATTTACAGCAGGGTGTTACACACTCCCCCACATAAAGTCTTTGGTCCCCAAAGAACTAACAATTAAACTAACAACTATAATGGGGTTTGCTCGGCAACGGGTGTGTGTGACCCCCTGGGTGAGTTCACAACACAAAGCAGGCACAGCAAAACAGCAGTGTAGGTGAAAAAACAAAGGTGCGATTTATTCACACTATTTACAAGAGAAAACAAAAAGAAACACGAAAATAAATCCTTGCCAACTTGGTCACTTACTATACAAAAAGCTTCCCTTGCTATCAACTAGGTGCAGCCTTGTGCTACACCCAGTCCGTATCTGCCTGTTAATTTGAGGCTAGCCACCCAGGCATTTGTCTCACCGCACAGACAGACAGGTATGATGCTCCCCAGTCTACTCAGGCACAGAACTGGTTCCAGGATGGAGCAACTCCCTAAGCAAGCTGTTACAGAGTTATTATGCAAATACTGTGACCCTACTTGCATATGGTAATATTGCATTGCCTTATATTTCCTGCTTCCTATTCTATGCTGACCTGGATGTAGTTCCATTGTTCAACATGATTCCTCACACCAGCAGCTTGTGTTGTCTGCATTCCTGTACATGAAACATGGTGTCAGAAGTGACTTGAAGCTGGACTGAGCCTCTTGTTTGGAGCACAGCAGCTTTAGGAAACACAGGTTTGTGAACTACAGCCTGAGACTGTGGATTCTCTGATATTTGATAGCTCAGAAGCATACTGACATTATGGCTGCCATGAACTGCATACCTCCCCCAGAGGGGATGACAATGAGTGGGGACTGGAGCAGCAATTGGAAATCTTTCAGAGCTGAATTTGAAGATTATTCTCTGGCTACAGGCTTGAATGAAAATGTGCAGTAGTGCAGGCAGCAACTCTGAGAAGAGACATGGGCAGTGAATGCAGGGATGTGTATAAACACAATCTGACCCTCACAGCAGATCAGCAACACAATGTTACAGCCATTTTAACCACCTCCCCGCCCGCCATATAGTAATATGATGGGCGCAAGGTGGTTCTCTCGTTCTGGGAGGACGTCATATGACGTCCTCCCATTCTCACTGCGCATGCGCGGCTCAGGGAGTGCGCAAGCGCGGTGATCGGCGCTGTGTCCCTCAGTTGTAAGCCGTGTACCGGGGTGGGCTCCCCAGGATACAGTGAAGTCACGGACGAGGAAAGCAACCCCAACACCAGCTTTTGCCATAACAGAATTTTACTTAGATGTGGCAAGTAAACACAACCACAAATGCTGGGAACATACAATACATTTACATACACCCAGCCCAAAGGCTGAGACCCTTGTGCTGCACAGCACAGCGCCTCCTGAAGGATGAAGATAGAAAGTGTAGTAATTTACCTACTGGCGGGCACAATTAAACTGCCACACCTTACCCGTTATTACCCTAAGAGAGCAGGAATCAGTGTATGGGTGTATGGTATGGGCTAGTCTGCGGTGCAGCACAACAGCTTACAATCTTACACAAATCTACAGTATTCCCCCTCCCATAACTGGTCCTGTAGCACGTGCCTGAGTATTCCTTCTGAGCAAAACGCCAGTCTGGCTTGAGTTTGTAGGATTTTATCAGCTCTCCAATGTGAAATGTCACTTTAAGTTGTGGAGTCCTTCCAATAATCGGTAACAACACTTGTGGCCTGACACAAACAGAGACCATAACTAACTAACTATAGGCCTGGACTCAGTCTATAGGCGCCAACACTGAAATGAGGTGCATGCACGATCTTACCGACCCGGGTCTGCTTCGTATCCGCTGGTGACTGAATAGAACAAATGTCTCTCAAACAAGCTTGCAATATTGCAGTGTATGCTGCGTTGTTCCTCTGCTCTCATCAGCATTACTGGCAGCAATCTTCCTTTCGCTGAACAGGATCAGGGTCTTGGACACGATCAGCTTTACTTAGCCGCAGCTCTGGTTACCGAGGGAAGCTCCCACACCTGTATGTCATCGGATTCTCAGCTCACACGTCCCCTTCATTCAACACCGTTTAAAACATGGCTGCAGTCTCCTCTTCCTGTTCACTCCAACTCTGTGTGAAAATTCCACCACTTCATGAGTATACAAATATCTATGCAGTCTGAGGCTGTGTTAGAAAAACAGTGACATCTTGTGGCTAAACCGCAGAATGTCAGTCAAAACATTAATTTACTTCCACACAATCAGTGTTCAAACAATGAGAGCTGTTTCCCCATCTCACACGGACACAGTGGATCACCGATCATGGAAAGAGCCGAAGATGTCGGCTCGGTCATGTGATCAGCTGTGTCCAATCACAGCTGATCACATGTAAACAGGGAAATGCCGGTTATCAGCATTTCTCTCCTCTCGAGCTGTCACACTGACAGCTCGAGAGGAGAGGAGAGCCGGTAATCGGCTTTCCGTGGAGGGGACATGTACACTGATCATCAGGGCACTGTGTAGCCCCAGCAGTGCCACCTGTCAGTGTCCATCAGTGCCTTATGTCAGTGCTCTTCAGTGCCTCATGCCAGTGCCCATCAGTGCCACATATCAGTGCCTACCAGTGCACATCAATGCCACATATCAGTGCCCACCTGAGCTGCCTTTCAGTGGCACCTATCAGTGCCAGTCAGTGCCACCTATCAGTGCCAGTCAGTGCTGCCTATCAGTGCCAGTCAGTGCTGCCTATCAGTGCGCATCAGTGCCAGTCAGTGCCGCCTAACAGTGCCAGTCAGTGCCGCCTAACAGTGCCAGTCAGTGCCGCCTATTAGTGCCAGTCAGTGCTGCCTATCAGTGCCATATATCAGTGCCATGTATCAGTGCTGCCTTTCATTGCTCATCAGTGATGCCTGTCAATGCCCATCAGTGCCACCTACCAGTGCCTCCTCATCAGTGCCCATCAGTGCTACCTATCAGTGTCCATCAGTGCAGCCTATCAGTGCCCATCAGTGCAGCCTCATTAGCGCACATCAGTGAATGAGAAAAATCACTTATTTACAAAATTTTATAACAAAAACTAAGAAAAAACATTTTTTTTTCAAAATTTTCAGTGGTTTTTGGTTTGTTTAAGAAAAATTAAAAAACCCAGAGGTGATTAAATACCACCAAAATAAAGCTCTATCTGTCACAAAAAAATGATAAAAATTTCATATGGGTACAGTGTTGTTTGACTGCGCAATTGTCATTCAAAGTGCAACAGCGCTGAAAGCTGGAAATTGGCCTGAGCAGGAAGGGGCCATAAGTGCCCTGTAGGCTAGCGTTTAAATGCACTGGAAGCTTATTTCAAACCTGATAAAAATGTAATTTATGAAAGGTATGTGTTTGGATGCTGCAAACAAGAAGAGGGAGAATCTTTTGATAACTTTGTTACACGCTTGAGAGAGAAAAGGCAGCAACTTGTGAATATGGTACACTCAGAGACGAATTGATAAGGGGCAAAATTGTTCTTGGTATAGCTAGCGAGAGCACACACAGGCGCCTCCTAAGAGAACATGAGTTAACTCTAAACACAGCCATTGAGACATGCCATACAGCAGAGCTCACTGACAGACGTCTGAAAGTTATGGAACAGGACAGAAAGCAGACTGACAGCATAAACATTGCAATGCAGCATCGCAACATAAACAAACTGCAGCAACGCCACCTGATTAGCACAAATACTGCCAACCCTACAGCTTGCAAATACTGTGGGACTGTGCATCAAAGAATTAAAGAGCAGTGTCCAGCTTATGGGAAGTCTTGTAAGTCTTGTGGAAGAACAAACCATTTTGCTAACGTTTGCTTGTCAAATAAACGACGGCCATCAATAGGCAAATTACACAACGTGGAGAACACATCCGCATATGAGGAAGAGACACACACCACTGAAGTTATATACAGCAGTGAATTGATCAGCGCTTGATGTCTAGGAGACTGAATACTTCATTGCCCGTGGCCAACAAATTACTTGATCCTTGTGTGGTTACAGGTGTCCCGGCAAAACTGCAGCGGAGGAAACAGATTGCCAAACTGTCATACGATGTCTCTGCTAAAGACTTACCTGAACTAAGCATTGGAGAGCCAATCCGTATGAAGCTGCTTCCAGGTGACAGGACTGGTCGCTGGAGACTGGGTTCCTGTGTTCAGAGGGTTGCTCCTCGATCATATTTTGTGGATGTAGAAGGCAGTCTTTACCACCGCAATCAAGTGGACTTGCGAAGGGCAGAACGATTCACCGCACAAGCCTATGAGCATCCTGCACGTGATCCTCCTGAGGTGCTCAATGCCCCGAGTCCTACTGGACCATATATTCAAATCAGAGAGAACTCTGCTGTCATATCGAGATACAATGAGGATGACATAATGCAGCCACCTATCCCGTCAAGTTCTTCTCTGCCAAACGCACCAGCCAGGAAAGAGGGTAGCTCCTTAACACCTTCTGGAGCTGAACGGATTGCCCCGGGCAAAATCCCTGTGACCTTGCGTAGTGGTCGAGTTTCAAGACCACCAGATAGACTCAATCTGTAGTGTATCTACCAGTAACACAGTATGCCATGTTCAAGACTGTTCAGGATCTGTTTTAGTTTAATTGTTTACAAGGTTTGAATTGAATGTAAAAAAGGGAGATGTTATAGAGTTATTATGCAAATACTGTGACCCTACTTGCATATGGTAATATTGCATTGCCTTATACTTCCTGCTTCCTGTTCTATGCTGACCTGGATGTAGTTCCATTGTTCAACATGATTCCTCACACCAGCAGTTTGTGTTGTCTGCATTCCTGTACATGAAACACAAGCTGGGAAGTTTTATAGAGGCCCTAATGAGCCCACTACCTTCAGCTGGGCTCATTACCTCACTGCTGAAGGTTCAGCACTTCTCCCTAGTGGAACAAATCCACATAGAGCCTAAATCTCGGACAAATGTATCTGCCATCCTGGACGCAACCAGGTGATTTTACCTGCCTACTGTCACACAACGTTTGATAAAACATATAGTATATACACATGGCATGAATGTAACTCTTTGGTCAGGAGGAACAAATGGCAGATGCTCATTATGAAGCAAATTTAGCAAAAAAAGACTACCACCAAGGGTTAGGAGACTCTCTGATTTTGAAGAAGGGTCATAGTATTGAAGACCTCCTCTTGGATGGTGCCAGCAGGGAGGCTTATAGACTCTTGGATATGCTCCAATATGCAACACACAGGAGCTTCTGGAGTCCTCTGGCTACCATGGATTGCTTCCTCTTAGCTCTCAACCAGAATGTCATAAGTCAGTCTCTTGGGTGGCCTTATCTCCCTAACTTCTCTTGGTTCCATCTGGGAGGTAACGTTAACTTCTTCCTCCGTCACAGTCTCCACCTCAGAACAACCTGACAAATCTATTTCTGGCTCAGGAAGGATAAAGTCTCTAAGGGCAGGTCTAATTGAAGAATTGGCTCGGCAAGTCCTGTAGGGCCTGGCTTGGGGAAGATGGCGCATCCAAGTTTGAGCCTGCTGGAGGGACTGACAGACTTGAATTAGGGTTTGGTGCCAAAATACTGTCTTTGATGGTGGCGAAGATTGGTCGCCAATCTATTTCCTACTTCCACTCCCTCTTCCTCTTCAGTCCCCTCCTCTTCTGGAGTCGGGATAGGATGGGGAGGGTATGGGATGGGGAAGGCCTGCGGAGTTGAGTGCCCATAACTGGAGGATTATCTGCTGGCACTGGGACTCGCACAGCATCAGATAGAGGTAGCAAGTGATTCCGATGCCAAGATTTCACTGGGCCTTTCTTCCCTTCCAGGCGGATTTGACAACTTCCGGCAAATGACATATGGCTATGACTTCCAGAAGACTGCAATTTTGTGCTTCCCTTGAACCCTGGCTACAAATCTTGCAGTTTCACTTTGGAATCATAGCACCATTTGTTTCTAATCCCCGTCGACTGAGAGGCCTGTTTAGCTTTCTCATAAGCAGTTTGTAGTTGATGCTTCAGTCTCTCCACATACCCCTGATGTGATGAGGGAGTAAGGTGATTGGGGGCTGTGCCAAATAGCAAATCCATGGGTAACTTATCCTCTCAATAAAACATTAGATGATAAGGTGAAAAGCCTGTGGTGCCATTCTCGATGTTGTTGTAGGCATGCACCACTGCAGCAATATGCTGACTCCACTGTTGCTTCATCTCCAAAGGCAGTGCGCCAAGTATATTCAAAAGTGTTCTATTGAACTGTTCAGGCTGAGTGTCACCTTGAGGGGGGATAAGGAGTAGTCCTGGATTTCCTTATTCCCAAAAGAGTCAACAATTCTTGATCAGCTTGGGAGCCCGTAATGTACAAACAATTTCTCTACAAGGACTTTGACTGCTATGAAGGCTTGCTGATTCCTTGTGCAAAATGCCTGAGCATATCTAATGAAATGGTCTGTCACCACTAAGACATTCTCTTGTTCATTAGAATCTGGTTCTAAGCACAGGAAATTGATACACACTAGCTCCATTGGTCCCTGGCTCTGTAGCTGGCCCAGGGAGGCAGCCCGTTTGGGTAGGTTTTTCCTTTATATACAACTCAGGCAGGTAGGGCAATACTCTTCTGCTTCCAACTTCATCTGTAGCCAGTAAAATCGATCTCTCACAATTAGGAAAGTCCTCTCCTGCCCTAGGTGTCCATGTTCATCATGCAGCGAATTTAACACCATTCTTCTGAACTGGGCTGGCAAAAGGAGTTGCCATAGATCATCACTTTGGTCCTAGGGGCCCCTTTGGTAGACCACCCCCTTCCTCTGCCTTAATCTATCCCACTCATTATGGATGACCTTGGCATCTAGGGAATCATCCTCCCAAAGTAAGCCAGGTTGAGCTGCCAAAAGGGCTCTTCTTGTCAAATGAAAGAGTGGGTCTTGATCCTGTGCTAGTTTCTCACCCTCCAACTGAGACACATTGCAATAGTACTGTAGGATGCATGCACCTTGGGCTCCCACAACTTCAGCGTAAGCTACCCCCTTCGCTACATATTCAGCTCCCTGACTCATAGCCTGCACTTCTTGGGGGGTTACTTGCAACCAATCTGGTTTGGTAATATGGCTGCCATGAAGTCTTCTGGATAGGGCATCTGCATCCTTATTCCCCACTCCAGGGTGGTAATTTAGACTGAAGCAGAATCCAGACAGAGCAGCCAGCCACCAATGCCCTGTAGCATCCAGCTTGGCTGTTGTGAGCACATAAGTCAGAAGATTGTTTGGATTGTCTTCACTAGGAACTCTGCTCCACACAGATTGTCTTTCGGCGCATGCGCGGCCAGGGATGAAGTCGGCCGCTTCTCTCTGAGCTCTGCTCCTCTCCTCTCCCGGCAATCGAGAATCACCCGCGGCGCACCGCCGTCCTGTAAGCGTCCCCGGGTGAGTCATATAAGCCAGGCACCCAGCCCAGCACATTCCCCAACGATAATGGGGAAAATAGGGCGCTGGAAGCCCCCCTCTCTGCCGCCATGTGATCCGCAGCCATCACCACTACAGCGGTTCCTGCACAGGCCTCAATCCCCAGCCTCAATTTCTGCTGCAAGTCCCAGGAACGAGTTTCAGGCCCCCAGTGGTGGTCAGCGGTACTGCAGCTCCTATATCACTGCAGCCAACCTCTCCACTTTCTCCTGCTTCCCAGATGGAGGAATCCAAACCCCTGCTTCCTGGAGAAGGGGCGTCAGAGAGACCTGTCCTGAGTATGCCTCCCACTGTTAATGCCAACCACCTGCCTGCCTCACCTGCTCTCACGGTATCTTCATTAGAGGAAAAATTGCAAGTATTTTTAAATAATATTAC